GGTTACTTTTCCCCAATACTGGATGGCTGGGACCTTTAAGATAGAAGTTATCTATTATCTACCCTGAAGGACTGGCATTTTATTTTTCTTTTTGAGCCCATTGTCCTTTTGCGGTGTTTGTAGCTGTACATTGATGTCTCTTGTTTTCTGTTCCATGCCCTTCTCCTATTGTGATCTCTTTCCTTTTCAGCTCCCACCTCCCCTACCTAGAGCTGTCCGTATCACTTTGCTTTGAGATCATCTTGAGAGAAAACAGGGTTTTTGGATTCCATTCCCCGAAAGTACCGTGGCAAAATCTGCCAAGAATGGTTCACTGTGAAGGGAAGGGAGAAAGAGCAAGTGAACAAATTGAGTCAGTACTGCCCTTACTAAATCTGTGTCTCCACTGCACTTTTCAGTTAGTAAAGCAAGCAGCTAGGATTCTATGGATGTAAAGAGTGACCCTGACGCTGTTCTATATACAGCAACATCTAACTGCTCAGCAGGAATGGAGAGCACCGAGGAGCAGGCCTTGACTGTAATGGAGGCATGTTAGTTCTGAGGTTTATTTTACAGACCCAGGTTTCATAGTTGCTTAAAGTCTCTCCAATTTTGGTCTCTACCTCAGTTTCTGGTATAATTAAGTTTACAAAAATTACCTGGTTTTACAATAAAAACATGCTGGTGCACGAATATTACCTACATATAGCCAGACCAATCAATGTCAAAATAAGCACATTTGTATGTTAAACAGTTCTTCTAATCTATTACTTATTTCTTTTTCACAAACAGTATACTTTTTTTTCTCCTGGAAATACAGCTTCTTTATTAATATATATTTCTTGAAGCAGATTCATCTTCCTTTCAAATCCTCCTCCATCACAATGAAATCTGATTTAGCAAGTGGGTGACTGATCCCCTAACTGATTTCAACTCAGCTAATATATTTAAAATTGCAGTATATTTGTATTCTGAGTCAGTCTTTGTACTTTAGTAACCGATAATATAGAGCCAAATCCTGAGGTCTTTAGAACAATGGGAACGTGCCAGTCAAACTGAATGATAGGACCTTAGGATTTCCCCAGTGATAGCATAAATGGTAATTAACACATTCAATCTTTTCGCTAACATTTAAATGAAGCTATTTCAAATTTAATTTATTTTTGTTCCCTCTTTTAATTATTTTATTTTTCCTCCTCTACAGCTGATAACTATCAGCTATACCTTTTACAGGTGAAGATCCAGAAATCTGGAGCTTACATGCAAATGGTGAAATACCACAATTTGTGGACTCCATGAATATGCATTACTTACTATTTATGCATGTTCTTCATTATTATTTTATCACAAAAAGCTGTTTTCTCTACTGCTGCTTCCTCCCCACAATGTTAGTTGCTCTGATACAGTGATAGGCAGGCTATAAAAATCAATAAAATAAATAAATTTTCTAGACTTTTAGGTACATTTTAGGCCCTTGTGCAACTGAAGCACACATACAAATTCAGTACAAATTAAATGTTTGGGTTTATGATTTTAAAAATATTTATTTACTAACAACCTGATGGAGTCTCATTATCAGAAATGTCAGCAGCCACTAAGAGGGGAGGGAAGTGAGGCGCCCAAACAGTCTCAGCTGAAGTCAGGAAAATGCCACATAACTCCATTAATGTTACAGACCCAACTACCCGACTCCCTGAGAGCGGGCATCTCCAGGCCCCACCATATCTTGCTCTCCCCTCTTCTATCCACCTTTGAAAGCTCCCTCTTTGCTATATTCAGTGGAGTGCAAGGCACTCAGCCCTCAATGCCCTCGGTTTCTGTGGTCTGCGTGGGGTTGAAACACTCTACCCACACTCATCTAGTCCAGCCACAGACCTAAGCAACCTAGTTGAGACTGCTGATACAAGGGTAGAGGATCCAACCCCCGCTTCCTAATTAAGTCTGACTTTCAATCAGGAACTGAGGAGAAAGCACACAAGTCAGGGTCTCTTGGGGAAAATGGGAGGCTTAAAAGGTTTGAACACAATACCTAAGCATAAGAATGGCCAACATGGGTCTGACCCAATATCCTGTTTTCTGACAGTGGCCAACGCCAGATGCTTCAAAGGGAATGAACATAAGAGGGCAATTATTGAGTGATCCACCCCGTCATCCAGTCCCAGCTTCTGGCAAACAAAGGCTTAGGGACACCCAGAACATGGGACTGCATCCCTGACCAACTTGGCTAATAGCCATTGATGGACCTATACTCCATGAACTTATCTAGTTCTTTTTTGAATCCATTTAAAGTTCTGGCCTTCACAACATCCCCTATCAATAAGTTCCACAGGTTGACTGTGCATTGTGTGAAGTACATCCTTTTGTTTATTTTAGACCTGCTGAATATTAATTTCTTTGGGTGACCCCTGGTTCTTCTGTTATGTGAAGGGATAAATAACACTTCCTTATCCACTTTCTCCACACTATTTATGATTTTATAGACCTCTATCATATCCCCTCTAAGTTATCTCTTTTCCTAGCTGAATAGTTCATCTTTTTAATCTCATAGGGAAGCTGTTCCATTCCCCTAATCATTTTTGTTGCCCTTCTCTGTACCTTTTCCAGTTCTATTTTTTTTTTTTGAGATGGGGCAACCAGAACTGCATGCATTATTCAAGGTGTGGGCATGCCATGGATTTTTATATTGGCATTATGATCTACCCCTTTCCTAATGGTTCCTAACATTCTGTTAGCTTTTTTGCACATTGAGCGGATATTTTCAGAGACCTGTCCATGATGATTTCAAGATCTTTCTTGAGCGGTAACAGCTAATTTAGACTCCATCATTTTGTATGTATGGGTGGTATTGTTTTCCAGTGTACATTACTTTGCATTCATCAACACTGAATTTCATCTGCCATTTGGTTGCCTACTCACCCAATTTTGTGAGATCTCTTTGCTCCGTAGTCAGCTTTGGACTTAACACCAGTGCTGCTGGTGGCCTACGTGTGTGGTTTTGCACAATGAAAACATTGACTGTCTGTTAATCTGGAATTTCAGAACTGCTACCAAAGGGGTTGACTGTGCCATACTAAGCGGCAAAGCAGAACCCCACTAATCCCAGTGGTGCGCCAGGAGTTTTCAGAGCTTGCAGGCACCCAGCACTAGGGTACATGCCAGTACTACACACCTTTATGGGATGAATCTTAGTCTGCCCTAGAACTGTCGCTGGTGCATAGGAGGGGGAACAGAACCTTGTCCCTGCCATCAGCCTGCTTCTTTCTTCTATTTGAGGGCTGTTCGGTGACCCAGGGACAGAAGGTCAGAGCACTCTCTCTGCCTCTGAGAACTACATAATCATCCTCTACAGTTCCTAATATCTGTATATTTGCTGCATGAATCTCATCCTTGGTATCCATAGTAGGTCTTTCTATTGATTTCAATGGGCATTCAGGCCCTTTATATTTCCATAGTACTAGAATGCTGTTTGCACAAAAGGCTCTCTGAAAAATAATGTTGGATTGTAATCAATCATTTTTTTTAACGCTTTAAATGTACAAAAAGAGTCTGAAACATAGCACATATGTATCATTCTGTATCCTATCTATATCTATATCTATATCTATATCTATATCTATATAGCAACTTTAATACAGACAGAATTTAATGTTTTTTGGTGGGAGAGCAGAAATATCACCTGAACTGTGATCATGACTGCCAGGTTTTAACTAGTAAATTGATGTTTATTGTAACATATTGTAAATAATGGCCAGCTCATAGCAATAGTGATACTTGCTACTGTATCTGCATTGCTACAAGGAAGATTGCAAAATCAAAATCATTCTACATGAAGACAAATTTTTCAAAATATAATTTTGATCTGGTGGTCAATAACGGACATTTATTTGTTTAAAAGAAGCACATATAGGGCCACATATTCTCCTGCTTCCTTTGCACTGTTCAGGTGGCTCCAATGGGATAGAAAGCAGCTACATTTGGCAAGCTGAGTAGGAGGGAGCTTTCAGCTGGCCAGGCGCAGAGCTGGCATACCTAATCCCTCTGCCAGTCCCAAAATGTGGCACTGGAGTAGGGTGCTGGGAATGGATGATGAGTGATTGTATCTGAGTGCACTGCACTCTAGTTTATAGTTCCTTGAGGACGGCTGTCAGCTGATGGAGTTTGGAGTGGCCCTGTCACTAGGTTAAACTCAACAGGGCTGTGCCCCAGCCAGAGCATCAGGATGCTACAAGCTGCCTCCTAACAGCTTACTTCATCCCCAACCTCGTGTTCACCCTCCTCTTCTTTGTTAAACTCTCAATGCATTTTATCTTAAAGTATCATGTAAGCTTTTTGTATCTTACTAAGTGTCTGTACAGTGCTAAGCACTGTGGAGACCTGACCAAAGCTGGGGCCTCTAGGTGTTACCGGGAATATAATTAATCATCCATCCATACATCTATAGCTGTTTTGATGGCAGAATGTAGAGTGATTATTACCCAATTGAAAGAGGAATACATTCTGAAATGTAAACAATTGAATTTCTTCTTGTATTTTGAGTGTCTGAGTTGTTCTTTTTTCCTTCTCAATATGGTTGGTGACATCCTGGCCCAGGGTTGTGTTAGTGATTTTTTTGGCATTGGCAGACTCATGTAATATTGAAAATCAAAATCAAAAGCTTTTATTTAAAAATAATCACTGCCCCATCCTGAATGTCGGCAAATATGAATTTCAGCATCTATAATCTTTAAAGTAAGGCAAACCTCCCATAAAACCATAAGTTGTATTATCATCATTTAATAAAATAATCCTTCTTGAGCAGTTTATTTTCTTTAATTATGCTAATCCTTATTTAAGAGAATATAATTCTACTGGTAATGCACTGAAAAGCTGCAGAGTAGACACGTACATAAAATGCCTGTACCTAGCCTTAAAGTGGAAATATTATGCAAATACATGGCAATATACAGTGCATTCTCTGTCTCTTCATTTTTTGAGTATAAACAAAATGTATATGAATTCTTCTATGCCTATTCTTTTTTTAGGTCCAGAGGAAATAGAATTCAAGTGTCCCCTGAATCATATTACTTGCATCGGTACAAACAGATGTATTCACTTGTCCCAACTCTGCAATGGTGTATATGACTGTTCAGATGGGTATGATGAAGGAGTACATTGTCGGGGTAAGTGAATATGTTGGGGAAAAATTTCCACCAACTTCAGGTCCTTAAAAGTGCATCGTTTTAAAGTGTGAGTTCAAAGTGATTCAGTAAACTTCTTCTTTTAACCATATGTATTTAAAATAAGTATGTATGTTATTATATTTAGTATACATTTCAAAGCCAGCTTTTTAAAAAAAATGTTTATTTTGAAAGAACCGAGGGTAAAAATACCTACAGGCTTTCTAGCATTTTTCTTTAAAAATTACAAAGTTTGTATGAAAGAGTTGTTTGTACCAAAAGAAGTATGAACAAACCTCTTCTTCGGAGTATAGAAAATAGGTAAAACTTGTTTGCCACAAATCCCTTTACCCCTAAAACGCTGTTGTTTAAAAAAGTCAAAAACAATTGGAAAGAATATGGAAAGAATTTGACACTTTTAGTGTGTTATGACATGAGGTTTTTCCAATCAAAATAATTTTCCTTTCAGATTTTGTTTTCATAAAGGCTAACACTATTTGATTTCATTTCACTTTCATATTCAAATAATCTTACAATTCAAAGGGTGAGTTTGTCTTAATTCTATCTGTAAGGAATTCATAAATAATACTCATGAAATCTAAACACCCCACCTCACCCCCCGCAAAAAACCTTGCTCAAACAAAAGTAAACATCATGGATCATCATCTGATCTAAATGAATATAGCTGAATTGTTGTAAACTGAACTATGCAGTTTTAGAGTAGCTGAAGATATGGTGCATAGGATAGATCCTCTATTAACTATATTTTCACAGTGAAAGGGATAAAGTGTCAAACATAAAGTGTCTGTTTCTGTAGTCCTCATTCGGCAAAACTCACTCTGAGTTTGATAGATGTTTTGCCTGTGTGTTGACTTTAGGATTGATCCTGGACAGAGTAATGAATAAATGAAATCAGCGAAAGCATCTCTGGGGCACATTGAAGCTTTCTAAGTTACAAATAAGTACTACATAGAAAAGAGCGTTTATCAGTTAATCACAATTAAAACGTAATCCTCAATAGATGTATTTACATATTTAAACTACTCTGGACAGAGGATTAAAAAAAGCTAATTCAAATAGTGGACAATGGTTTTTGTTCATTAGGAATTTAAAACCTTAAACATAAGGGGATTAATAGTATGGTGGAACCAGGAGAGGAAGTGGATTAAAATTTAAGGCCTTACTTAAAGCATAAATTAAACAGGTTCTTTGTTTTCTCCAATTGTCATTTTGCAGGGCTAACCTGCGCTTTGGAATAATAGGTGAAACTGCTTTGGGGACATGTCTTTTTTATTTTCTGTTAAAATCACCTTTTTAAGGCTGATGTGGACTCCACCTTCTTATGTGATCACTAAATATTCTAATGTATGTGGTATTTTCCCAGTGGTAATTTCTTGTGCTGTACATTTTATAAATATGACCTGACTTTAATAGCTCACTCTCAGAGTACAGTAAAGTTTAGGAAAATGTGCTGAGTATTGACAGTTGATTTTAGCCCTAACTTGGATACACAAAAATGAATACTGTATGTTGAAGTGGTTATGTACTAAAAATTGAGTAAGAATTGATAGCCAAACTTCCAAATACAAAATCCCTAAATCCCTATTTAGAGTAGTCCTCCATTAATACTGCTGGGTAGCTATGCGCATAAATATTGATCTGAGTGGCAACTACCCATTTTGCACATATATAACTGATGTGAAAATATGTCCCTAAATTAAAGGGCACTTGTTTCCTCTATTAAAGTTAGAGACTGAAGAAATGAATCCAAAAAAGAAAAAGAAAAACAATCTGACAACCAAATAATTAAAAAAAAAAAAAAAA